TTATTCCTATGTTACAGATGAGGGACCAAGGCACAAAGAGGTTAAATACTATGCCTAAGGTCACAGAGCTAAAAAGTTTCAGAGTTGGGATTCAAACCCAGGCATTCAGATTTGAGAATCCATTTTTATTAATACATATCCACTGAATCTGAGCTGACTCATACCATCAGGGTTTTTTTGAATGCCTAACTTTCTGCTATGGAACTGCTGGTGGATTTGAACTGGCAGCCTTTAAGTTAGCAACACTATTGATTTTGTATTGCTGCTGTTGTGTAGAGTCAGATCCAACCCACAGCTGACCCTCCAGTGGGTTTTCAGAGGCAGTTAATCACACGAGACGAGATTGCCCATACTTCTCCCTCAGACCAGCTGGTGGCCTCGAACTGTGTGCCTTCAGGATTGCAGCGCAGCTTCTTGCCTCTAAGCACCAAAGCTCCCTTTATTGATTTTAAAGTGGAAAAAACCCATGTAACAAAATTTTGTCATTTTAACAACTTTTAAGTGTTCATTTCAGTGGAATTAAATACATGCACCATGTATACAACCAACACCATTACTTTGTTTTTTTGAGATTTTCAACAAACGTTTAGAGAACTTGGATTGCCATTCATTCATTGTTGCACGTTTTCTTCCCTACCCACCCTCCTCCAATGTTTGCTTTTCACTTTGAAAAAAAACTCTTTTATTGTTGCACAATCCTCAGCCCCCTGGAGTCCACTTTACTATATATCTCTTGTTCTGGACTGCTGAATATCACTACTTTCAAAAGCTTTCCTCACCCCAAATAGAAACTTACTGTCAGCTCACTGCTGTCAAGTTAGAATAGCTGGTCCTCCATTGGATTTCCAAGGCTATAAATCATATGGAGGAATCTGCCTATCATTCCTCCAAAGAACTGCTAGTACATTTGAACTACCAGAGAGGTTTGGCCTTTGGACTAGCAGTGCAACTCCTTACAACCTGCATAAAACATCAGAGCTCCCTAGACAGAAATAAACTAAAAGAACTTGAACTCATTGCCATTGAGTTGGAAGTGACTCACAGCTGAGCCTCCAGTGGATTTTCAGAAGCTGTAAATTGCACAGGAGGAGAATATCTATCTTTTCCCAGTAGAGCTGCTAATGGATTAAAACCACCAGAGAGGAACCATCTATGGGTTAGCAGCACGACTCTCCACAGGCTGTGCCACCCAGTGCTCCCTAAACTCCTTGCTGTCGAGTCAGAAACTATTCCCAAAGACCCTCTAGCAGGTTTCTCAGACTGTAAATCACATGAGAGGAGACTGTCCATCTTTCTCCCATGGAACTGTGGGTAGATTCAAACCATCAGAGAAAAGTGGCCTTTGGATCAGCAACACACCTCCTACCATCCTCTTTCCCCCAAGTCTCTGCTAACCTCTAATAAACTTTGATCTCTGTGCATTTGTCTAATCTAGATAAACACATAAAGGAATCATATGGTATGTGTTTTTTTGTATGACTTATTTTACTGAATATAAGATTTTCAAGGCTCATTCCTGTATCAGAACTTCCTTTCTCCTTGGTAGATACATACATATCTACCACATTTTATTTATCCATTCACCTGCTAATTAATATTTGGGTTGTTTTCACTCCATCTTTTGACTACTGTGAATAGTGCTGTAATGAACTTTGGTGTACAAGTGTCTATTTGAGTCAGAACTTGCATTTTTAAGCACAACGATGAAAGCTGCCTCCCATCTTCCTAGGCATCACTACATAGACCATTTGATTTATTAAATACTTGGACACTTGTGAATAACAGAGAAAACTTAAAAGGTTGTTTAATTCCATACATGCGACCCAGCTATATCACTCCTGGGTATACACTCAAAAGAATGTAAGTATATGTCCACACAAAATCCTGAGCATAAATATTTATGACGGCATTATTCATAATAGTAAATAAGGTGCAACAAACTCAAAAGCCCATTAATTGATGAATGGATAAAAAAAAATGAGATCTATCCATGCAGTGGACATTTAGCCATAAAATGGAATGATTTATTACAACATGGATGTGCCCTGAAAATATTTTGCTTAATAAAAAAAACTCAACTCATTGCCACTGAATTAGAACCAACTTGACCTTTCACTAGGTTTCTGAGGTTGCAAATCTAATGAGAGGAAATGACTCCTTTCTCCTGCAGAGTTGGTGGTGGATTAAAAAAAAGATAGAGCGGAATGGCCTTTGGCTTAGCAGTGAAACTCCCTTCCGACCAGTGACAAAAGGCTACATTTTATATGGATGCCATTTATATGAACTATCCATATAAACCTGCAGAAACAGAAGCATTAGTGGTTGCCACAGGCTAGAGGGAACAGTCAATGGCAACTGACTGCTAAATGGGCTTTAAGTTTCTTTTTAGGGTGATGAAAATGTTCTGAATTTTGTAGTGATAGCTGCACAACGCTGTGAACATACTAAAAACCACTGGAGTATACACTTTAAAGGGAGCTCTGGTGGCCTAGAGGTAAGGAGCTGCACTGCAATCCTGAAAACAGGCAGTTCAAACCCACTAGTTGCTCTGAGGGTGATAACTGAAATCTCCTCCCATCTGATTAAACTGCCTCTGAAAAACTACTGGAGGCTCAGCTATGGGTTAGTTCCAACTTGATGGTACACAAAACCAACAATATACACTTTAAATGACTGAATTCTATAGAATGTGAATTATATATCCCAATAAAACTGTGGGGTTGTGTATGCTTCATTCTTTTCTTTTTTTTTTTAATAAAACTCCTGTTTGTTGTCACTAAGGTCTCTGTATCATGATGAAGGAAAGTGAAAGGAAATTGCTGTTGCTTTGATCTTTTTGTACCTTTCAATTTGCAAATAAAAGCAAGCACTTTCACTTCTAGTTTGTAAGGACTGAGTTCACAGCTCATTTGTGTCATTTCTCACCTAGGAGAACTTTTTTCCCCCCCTACATTAAGATCAAAAGAATCCAAGTGTATTGTGTTTGAGGAAAGACAGCTATTGTTTTTGAGGAAAGTCCTAACATTTTCCTTAAAACAGAAGTACCTTTCTGTGGAAAAGAACTTTCATATTCTCCCATTAGTAGGGAACCCCAGGAATCCCTCCTAAAACCAACAGTACTGCACAATGTAGCAACAAAGTAGCAATATTTATTTTTGAGTTGTGGCAATATTTTAATGCCTTAAGGATAAACAATGGAGACAAATAACTAGCCATAGGATGTGGACCTGATAAACAATCTTTCAGATGCTAACTTGCTCTATTATTAATGGTAATTATTAATTAACATTTACTGAGCAACTATAATGTGCTAAAAGAAACAGCCATCTAAGTTTTTGACAGAGTACTTCAGTTAGTTCTTACAGTCACCCTAAGAAAGGTATTTCTCTTCTCACCTCACAAAGCTGAAGCCTAGAGAGATTGTTTCAGCTGGGTCTCAAAAGAGGGAGAGCCCAAAGAACAGTTCAAGTCTCTTTACATCAAAAGTTCATTCCTCTATAACTCTACACTACAAATGGGGGGAGGGCTGAAACTTGAAGAAAACCCTTCCTCTTATCTCACAAAAGTAATGCTTTGCAAACGCTGAGTGTTCCTACAGTCCAACAGAGAAAATATGCAATACAAAAGGTCAACAATAACAATGAGCAGCCAGCAGATGCCATGCTATGCCTTGTATCTCATATATTTCTTCCTGATTTAAGTTTCCCCATTGATTTGAATTCTTATTGTAGATGTCAATATGTAATAAAATTATCTCATTATGGAAAACCCCAGAAAAATGGCAGGCAGCACAACTGGAGAGTTCACTAGACCAGGAAGGAAACGCAATCAGTTGGCAGGAAGTAGTGCTAATCTAAAACTATCAAGTGTCTTGGCATTGACACTGTAATTGCACAGCATGTTAGTATAAAGCTATCTCTACACTCTCCTGCATTATTTTTACTGTATTACTAAAAGCTGGTTCCCACACAGCTCTCCATTGGTCTAAAAGACCAATAATGTTAATTCTGCTATACAGACATCACTGACTCTCATTTCTTTCTTGCTCTAACTCTTAATTCACAAATTCAAAGCATTATTCTAAAGGGAAAGAACTAAATCAATTAGGAAAGGTAGCATAAGGGCACAACTAAACGTGAATTTCATCACCAAGCAGACAGTGGCTGGCAGAAATCCTGAACACACCAATAAAACACAATTGTTCCTTATACTTGACAGAACTCTGCCCATAACAAATCGAGCTGGTAAACAGCACACTGATAGATGGACAATTGCTGAAAGCCTCAACATACACCAAAAAGGCGGGGGTGGGGGAGAAGTGACACAAGGTTTCTTTGCCAACTAAATGAATTGACATGAACAGGATTTGGGACATTTGTACAAGAAGCGTATTACAACACACGGGAAGAAAAGGTCATTTGGGCCAAATCCTTGGGTAATGCCAAAGAAATAGCCCTGATTGTGGGTCACCTTGTCATAATTCCTAATGGGAAAAGGCCAACTCAAGATAAAGTGCGATCTGGATGGTGGATTTTCCTGTCGCCTTCACAGGTAGCCTGGAAGAACCTTTTGGAAAGTCCATGAGAAAGACTGGTACGCACCGAAGTGGGGGTGCAAGGAAGGGGGCTACCGCCGTGCAAGCAACCACCTGCTTGCGTGGTGGAGACCCCCGAGGAGGAGTTCTGTTTAAAGTGAAAAGCAACTCTCCGAACCCTGCACGGACTGGGGCTACTCACCCCACTCCGTCCCTCCCGCCAGGTCCCCGGGCCGAGGGCAGCCCCTCCGCAGAACCACCCCCAGGTCCTGAGCTGTTCCCACACACAGCTGTCCCCAAAGCCTCTGCTTGGCAGCTGCCTGCCACCAGGCGGTCGCTGATCCCCTAGCCTGGATTTCCCACACCTGCATTCCGGAATCCGTGGTGCCCAGGCCCGTGGGATTTAGACCTGAGGATCCGGAGGGGTTTGGTCTGTCCTCTTTCCCTCTCAGCGTCCTGGACTCACCTCCCTGGTAGCTTGGCGCTCCTCTTCCAAAACTGCTTGCTGTTCTCAGAGGCCATTGCTCTGGCCCGGGAAAGGTGTGGGCGGGCTGGGGGTGGGGGATCTGGCGAGATGCCCCCAGGACCCCGCAACCGGAGGGCCAACCCAGGCCGCTTCCCAGCCGCTGGTCACCCGCTCTCAGCTCCTGGGGGCGCCATCTTGGAAGTGGGCAACCCCCCACCCAGCGCCACTGCCATTGGTTGGCTTTGTAGGCCGTGGACGGGAGGACCAATCGAAAGCCGAGATCCTGCAGCCCGCGGAAGCCGTACAGTTACGTCAGGAGACGGGCGCACAGGTGGATGGGGAGGGCGGAGCTTGGCCGATCAGGGGGGCGGAGCTGAAAGTTCCTTCCTAGGGCAGAGGGGAGAAGCAGGTAAAGAAAGGGAGCAATGGGAATGGAGGAAAGAGTTCCGTTTTCTTTGGGGGGAAGTATGTCTCTTGGGCTCCTGCATACATTTTTTTGAATGGAGAATACATTGAGAATCCATTTATATAGATAAATCTCTAACCTAAAAGTAAGGGCCGGCGTGTGGGTTGATTGAGACTCATTTTTAATAACTCCCAGTCCAGTGACATCTTGGTTACCACCTTCTTCCTTCCTCTTAGGGTTTCGGCCTGGCTTTTTTTTTTTTTTATTTTTATTTATTTATTTTTTAATCTGTGACGGAGGATCGACACGGATTCCAAAGCCTAGAGTTGTTAACTGTTCATCATGTGAGTAACGGTCGGCTATTCAGAGTCTTTCTGGTCTCTTTGAATGAAATCTTAAAGGATTTTTGTGCTGCCAAAATCCAAACTACCTAACCCTTGCTTCAGTCAAAACCTCACACTCTCTAACAATAAGAACACAGATGTTGACAAACTATGTATATAGGACAGAGAAGGACTTGAGCAAAGAGTTTCCAGACAGTAAATCTTTAGTGAAGCCAACTGCCATATCTTTCTCCCGCGAAAAGGCTGTTGGGTCCATCCGCTGACCAAGAGGCTCTTTGACCTCCCCGATCTAGCGGCCAAACGCTTACCCACCATGTCACCAAATAAAAGGGCACTGCCGTGGAGAACATTCCCGCTCCGGGCGACCCTCCAGGGGGTTTCTGAGGCTGTAAATCATAATGGAAGCCGACTAACTCAGCTTTCTCCTGTAGACACAGCTGTTGGAATTGAACTGCTGACCTTTAAGTTTGGTTGCCCACCACAGAATTCACTCTGCCTCCTTACTAGGCCACAACAGCGCTCAAATTTTCTTTCTTGTTCTATATAGAACATCTTTGTGATGTGAATCACAAAAATAAAATGTGTCCCCCACATGTTTATTAATCTAGTATAGTCACCCTTAAATTTTGACCCGGAATGAGATTTAATTATAGCATTTTAAATATTTTAGGTGTCTTGATGGTGCTTTGCTCTTTTGACGTTTCTGTAGTTGTATACCATGGTGTTCTTCACCTCTACAGAAGCAGAGAGATTTTTGAGAGTTTTTGGAGCTTAGAAGAGCTGATGTTTCTTGAAGGAATGTTCTACAACGACTTGTAGTTCCCTTTCCCCAGTAGCCCTGGTGCTGTTGTCAGTATGGAGGTGTGCTGCTAACTCAAAGGCTGAGCCTTCCTGTCAGTTTCAATTCACCAGCTTCACTGTGGGAGAATGACAGTGAGATTTACAGCCTCCTGAAAACCCATGGGAGGGTCAGCTAAGAGTCTGGTAATGAACTCCGTTTCCCTAGTGATAGCTGGCAATTCAGAGTTAATTCTTAAAGGTATCCACTGAATTGTCTTTCCCTATGTAAGCTGCCTGATGCTTGTCCATATGGTGAGACACCTGCCACTTCCCAGCCTACTCATACTGCTTTAGAAACATTCCAGAAGATGCTCCCTGTTGACTTGACATTTCACTATGTAGAAAGCAGAGTATAATTTGTGTACCTAGACATGTCTCAAAGTATTCCTTTTTCTTAATCATTTATGAAATGTTAAATAACACTGATTCTCAGGGGATGCTGTTAATATTGTTCAGCCCAGAGAAGCCCTATTACTTTTCTAGTCTTTGTCTTCTATATCAAAGCCAGTTTTGAGTATAAAAGCAAGAGCAACAACATCATCCAGCCATGTCTTGTGGTGACATAAGTTTTTAAATAGATTTTGGTAGGAAAATTGAGAATTGTTTCTTACTACCACAACCAGTATAATCTAAACCACCATGTTTTTCTTTACAGCATTACATTACAGTAGCTTTCTAATACACCTGTTTACTTATACTCTTAGTCTTCTAGACTGTCTTCCACACAACACCTAGATAATTTTTTTTTTCTCAAACCTAGTTTTTCTTCTTTTTTTATTAATTAATTTTAATCAAAGTTTACAGGGACTTTGGATTTCCATTCATTCATTTTTTGCACTAGATAAATCTTCTTAAAATACGTCAGATCATGCCACTCCTTTGCACACACACACAAAAAAGCTCCTGTCATACCTGATATTAAATCCAAATTCCTTGAAGACCCTATTTATGTGGTTCCATTCACCTCTCCAGTCTCATCTCATTCTACTCTCTTCCCTGCTTAATCTGCTCCCACCATACAGACCTTTTTCTGTTCTTTGAATCCACCATAAGTATGACTACTACCAGGCTTTGACATTAGATGTCTTTACTGCAGAAGGTTCTCTTTCCTCAGTTATCTGAATGGCTTGCTTCCTCATTTCATTCAAATGTATTCCAAATACCTTCTCACTGGAGAAGACTTCTCTGGCCACTCATTCTTTCCACACCTCCCCCCCTTTTAAAATACTAGTTTATTTACAAAATTTGTTTTACAAAAACAAAACAAAACAAAACAAAACAAATTACAAAATTGTTTTCAAAAGCAGATTCTTCCAGTTTCCCTTCCCCCGACCCCATCAAATTGTACAACCTGATGATTATCTTCCTCTACCCCTGCACATCCTCATCCCTCTGCTTCCAACCTCCACCACCCTCCTTGGATCCTTATACTCATTCTACAATAATGGTTTATACAATATTTGTCCTTGTGGGACTAGTTAGTTCACTAAGCATAATGCTCTCCAGTCCCTCCCAAGTTAAGTAGTCATTTACAAAATCATTGCCCCTGCATGGTGCATAGTATTCCATTGTGTGAATGTACCATCATTTCTCAATCTATCCGTTTGTGGTTGGACGTTTGGACTGTTTCCATGTTCTAGCGATGGTGAATGATGCTGCTATGGACATTGGTGTACAAATCTCTGTTTGTGCTTCAGTTCTCATTTTCACAGGGTACATTCCAAGCAGTGGAATAGCTGAGTCATATGTCATTTCTATGTTTACCTTTTTGAGGAAGTGCCAAATTGCCTTCCAGAGTGGTTGTACCACCCATTCTTTTATATAAAGTTCTACTCATTCAGTGCGTTGAGTGTTTGTTTTAATAGCACTTTTTATTTCCTGACATATTATATACTTATTTGTTATATACTTGAATGAAAACTCCACAGTCCCCAAGTAGGAACTTTGTTTTGTTTTCTACTGTAGCCTCACTGTGTATGTAAGTGTTTGGCACATGCAAACCAAACCCACTGCCATCAGGTCCATTCTGACTCATAACACCATGGGCCACAGAGCAGAACTGCCACATGGGGTTTTCTTGGCTGGAATCATTTGTGAAAGCATATCACTAAACTTTTCTTCTTGTGACACCACTGGATGAGGTCAAATTGCCAACCTTGTAGTTAATGTTGTTATGTGCTGACCCATATGAACTGACCCTTCAGCAAGTTTTCAGAGGCTATAAATTTTACTGGAAGAGATTACCCATCTTTCTCCCTCACAGTTGCTGTTGTTGTTGTTGTTCTGTGTTGTCAAGTTGCTTGCGACCCATAACCACCCTATGTACAGCAGCTCTGAACCCTGCCCTGTCCTGAGCCAGTCTCAGTAATTCCAACACACCAACTCCTTTTGCCCCAGTTACTGTATCAATCCATCTCATCCGGGGTCTTCCTCTCCTATGCTGTCCCTCTACTCTTCCAAGCATGATGTCCTTCTTCAAGGACCAGTCCCTCCTTGGCCATGTGCCCAAAATATGGGAGATGGAGCTTCAAAATCCTAGCCTCCAAGGAGAAACTTGGTTTAACCCTCTCCAAGACAGGCCTATTTATTTTCTTGACAGTCCGTGGTGTATGTTCAAAACTCTTCTCCAGCACCACAAATTGAAGGCATCTTCTTCTGTCATCCTTAGTCATTGTCTAGCTCTCTGAAGCATAACAAGTAATTGTGAAAATGATAGCCTGCATTAGGTGCACCTTAGTCTCTTGACTAACATCGTTGCTTTTCAGCACTCTGGAGAGGACCCTGTCAGCAGATTTTCCCAATGCAATTCATCTTTTAATTTCCTGACTGCTGGTGATAAGAGTGTTGATTGTTAACCAATTGTTAACAACCTCAATTTCTTCTCCATCTTTCTGGTGCTGCCCATTGACCCAGTGGTGAGAATCTTTGTCTTCTTCTTCTTCTTCTTTATTTTTAGCTTCCCTGAGTCTTTACTGTGAGAATCTTTGTCTTCTTGATGTTGAGCTTCAATCCATATTAAAGACTACAATCCTGGACCTTCTGCAGCAAGCGCATCTGATCTTCTTCAGTTTCAGCAAGCAAGGTTGTGTCATCTGCATAGTGTAGGCTGTTGATGAGACTTCCTCCAGTCTTGATGTCAAACTCCTCTTTATAAAGTCCTGTTTCCCAAATGATCAGTTCTGCATATAGATTGAAAAGGTATGGGGACACAATGCATCCTTGATGCACTCCTTTCCTGAGTTTGAGCCATGCAGTGTTTCCCTGTTCTGTTTAAGGACTGCTTTTGGTCCAAGTATAGGTTTTACATAAGCATAATTAAATGTTCTGGGATTCCCATTCTTCTCAAGGTTAGCCACAATTTGTTGTGATCCACACAATCAAATGCCTTTGCATAGTTAATGAAACACAGATAGACATTCTTCTGGTACTCTTTGCTTTCTGACAAGATCCATCTGACATTGGCAACAGTTTCTCTAGTGCCATAACCTCTTCTAAACCCAGGTGGTATTTCTGGTAGTTCCTTATCAATGTACTGTTCCAGTTGTTTTTGGATAATCTTCAGCAGGATTTTGCTAGTATGTGATATTAGTAACAAACAGTAGATGCTTAA